AGAACCTCTAAAAACTAAATGCCGGCAGTCTTTAAGCCTTCCTTGGGTTAATGGGCGTGTGTTGATCAAGATTGTTCACATGTTACATTTACCGAAATGTGACAACGAGGAGAACAAAATCGACCCGCTCAGCTTGTGGAAGGCAAGCGGTCTTTCAGTCTTTTCATAATCCGAGGTCAATTTGCGACAGGCGACGACAGATATGCAGAAACATCGAGATATGAATGGATATATGTCTTTGGTCACTATTTATTTTTCCAAGAGTCAATGTCATAGTTGTTAAATTTTAAACCTGCCTGTGTTCATTAAAATTCAGACTTTAACTACAGACCGCCATACTATTCAATTATAGACAAAAACATTTAATTATTTGTTTCATGAGTTGGTTCGTGTCATAAGCTGTGCTTTCAAGGGAAGTGGCCTTAAGGGCTTTTGAGAATTGACCACGTGTTTAAAAAAGTAAGCAAAATGATTCTCTTCCAGTGTATGCAAGTGTGCACCTTCATATAATTCTAAGCGCTATTTCCCTCACGGACCATTTGTCCTTATGCAGTGTGTGGCTTTTCGTGTGTGTCGTTTGACAGGATTAGAACGACCGAAACCACTTTCAACCACCCTGAGGCCGTTAGGATTAAGAAAAAAGAGTGGCCATTGTATCAAAACTTTTCCCTTCTCACTCGACTGAGCATAAAAGGCAGAAAAAAATGGATATGAACTGCATTGAGTTCGCTGAAAACGTTGAGTATATAAAAATTTACTCAGGCTGGAGTTTGCCACATAAGCACTTTCACTATGAATGTATTTTCACTTTTCAGGTATAAATTTACTTAGAAGATATCAGCTTTTAGGAAAGATTGCATTTTATATCCCAATTTTAAACTCTTCACTTAAAGTCGGTCATTTGACGGATGAGTTATGAGTAGAAGAACACTGATAGAGGTGTTTGGTGACATTGTGTTCAATTTCACACGAGGCGTAACAGAGCATTAACAACATTCTGGCTCTCGTCGCGACTTTTTCTGTATATTTCCAGCTTACGTCAAACAAAACAAGGAAGGTAAACTTCTGATCGTTATTTTAGCTCCGCTTGTTGGAATTGTTCTGGAAGTAATTTCATGAATTTCCGTTCGGAAATTTACACATCCGGGATATTCGTATGTGTTACTAGCGGCAGTGTATTTTGGTTGAGCTGTTATGTTTCGAGTATTGCATGCCGACTTGGACAGTTTACAATCCATGGCTACTCTTGGATTGGAAAGAGGAAGGAATATTCCAATATATGGGTCAGGAATATTCCAAAATAGTGCAAATAATTGTGAAAGCTGATCGCGGAAAAGCGATTGCGTGACGCTCGGTGAGTTGGAAGATGACATGTTATCACACATCAAACGAAAAAAAATCTTTAGATTCTCAGTCTGCATTTTGTACCCACTCTGCAGTCTGAAGTAGGTTATTTCGACATTTTCGTTCCGCGTTAATACTCTTCTTCCCATTCATAAGAATGTAGACATCACTTACAATGTTTCAAGTAAACCACCCACCCCCCCAAAAAATAATCTTGCGTGCGTAGCATGCTTCTGTTTATAATAAGATCACATGTAAGAACCAAGTCTCGTGTTTACGGAAATTGAAGCTGTTTTGTGGAATAGATCAAGCCTGTTTTCTGCCGTGGACATTGTACCAACAAAGCAGAAATAATCTGCATGTTAGCGAAAATATTGACTACTCCACTTGTGAAAGTAAGTGTGCCAACAAAGCAGGAACAATCTGCAAGTTAGCGAAAGTATTGACTACTCCACTTTTGAAAGTAAGAGTGCCAACAAAGCAGAAACAATCTGCATGTTAGCGGAAATATTGACTACGCGTCTTGTTCACTGAAAATTTGAGAAAAAGAGATGTTGACGATCAACATTATTAATGATATGTATTTCTATCGAAGCAAAAACCATCCAGCTCTGTCAAGGATCTGGTGTAAATGCCTCATTTGCATCACAGGGAAACAGGCCAAGTGTCGGCCAGAAGAATCCACCACTATACTGTACAGCGTGAAAATTCAAGAGACAAGATGAAACCGATTAGTCAGTGATAAAATCTGATGTTTTTTCTCGAGACTGTCAGATATAATTTCACCAATGGACACTGCACTCGGTACAGGCGGGAGGTATTCTTTTGTTTTGTCTGATATTAGGCGCATTGTTCTTTAATATCCATGATTGAGTGTAGCTCTGAAATTAAATTACTACACCTCATTCAACACTGAGAATATCAATCATTTCTTCGCCAATTTTGAGCTAAGAACGTGTTCTTTAAGGCAGACATTTCACCCAGGAACTCTTCTGTAACAATCAGTCTCGAAAAATACTGATTTCTTTGGCACTTTGTCGTTACACGGTGCTTATTTATGCAAATTGTTTTCCATTTGTTCACGATGATTGAAACGGCTCGACAGAATTTGTCAGATGAGCTCTTAATTCTTTCATGTGGGTTGTAACGCAAACACCGCATCGAAAATAAGCTTTCAGTTAATAATTTGAACCCATATGGGAAATGTTTGGAAAGGCAAGATCATGGAATGATGTGAGCATTTAAGTAAATTTGATCGATATAATTATTTGTCCTGACATACGTATTATATCTAAGAAGAATCTTGCATGGTCTGATTCAGCATCCGCCGTGAGATGAATTAGTTAGCGAAGTATACAATAAATGATCTTTATTAACTAATTTTCAGTTTCGAATGAGTCTAAAAATTTATGGTTATTCTCTGGGTTACGCAAGGCTGATTTTATTGTAATTGCAATTTAATCAAACGACCTCGCAAACGAACCTTAACCCTTAGTCGAGAATTAAGCTAAGTTGAAGAATGCCCTCCAGCTACATCTGTGTGAAAGCATCCGTCAAAATATAGATATTTCCTTTTCTGCTAAAAATAGCTGAGAATATCGAGTCAAATGAGTTTCAGTGATTTTCCTTTGCAGTATAACAACATTTGCCAGTTGTGAGCAAAAAATGCGCATTGGGGTGAACTGGGTATACCTTTTGACTTTAATTTGTATATCAATCGCTCTTCGGCAAAATTTATGTTCTTTGATATTAAGTCAGAGATTAAGGATATGTCGCCCACGATACCAAATATTTACTCCCGAGGCAAAAGTTCAGATAATATCGAAAGTCCAAAGCACTATCGAAAGTTTCCACATTGATGCGCATTTATGTCCAATTTTTAGGAATGACATCATACACATTAGAGAGATCAATTAGAATTGTTCAGTTTTGATCCTACACAATCAGACGCTAATAAAAATGTGTGAAACAAAGGGTGTGAAATACTTTACGTTTCGCAACAAAACACTGAATATTACTAAGTGACGGCTGAAACAATTATCATTTAGGTCACGTTGCCCTATTTTTGCGTAAATTCTGGCATCTTTTGCCAATACTTATTTTGCACAGTTCCTACATACACTGTTCGCTTCTATAGACAGCTTTTGAAGTCTTCCCGATCGAGGTACCTTTGTCACGAAATCGGTGAGACGCAACTTTCAAATGATGCGTGTAGTAAAACCTGGTAACCCGTCGCGTTTCAACGCTTTCAGTATTTCAGCTGGGTGGAGGCCTTGCTTGTGGAGGATCTTGATTTTTTTTGTAGAATAATTCGAAACTTTGGCCACGATGACTACCAAAAGTAGAGTACGTAAATGATCCCAAACGCATCGACACAATCGATACACTGAGTGTTGCCATGGTTGCAAACAACATAGGTCGCGCGGAGGACTCAAATCGTAGCGGGAAATTCCATGGGAGTTTTACATAGAGCAGTACCAAACCACAAATTCAACCAAATCTTTTTGAAAGAATGAAGAATTGCAACGAATTATCGCCCCGAATATTCGCCGCATAGAACGAATTTTCGCTCGAAATTTCGAGTCGCATTAACGCCATCAAGGAATATGTCGCCGAAAGTTCGAGCCGTTCAAAACAGTACATGCCTCAAAAATTCGCGGAAATGTCGTCGAAATTTAGTTTCGGTCAAGAATTCGTCGAAAAGCTAGGAATTTCGTCGAATTTCGTCGACAGGTGTTTGCATTACTTTTGCCCAGTACTGTAGGCTTTCATAATGACAGGACTTGAAAGGACTTCCTTAATAAATAATGTCTGCGTTTGCTTATACTTTTCTAATCTTCCACGGCAATTGAACAGTTCTATGCCATTACTTTACAAGCAGTTAGATATTTTGCTTAAGCCTCGAGCTTGGTCTGAAAATCCGAGCTGAAAAAAATTGGTCCATAGCTTTAGGTACGGATCTCCCACTCGGTTGATAAGAGCTCTTTAATTAGCTTCAAAATATTAACCGAAAGGCTATTTTTGACACGGCGTTTCTGCTAAGGAAGTTTTTTATCCATACAAAAGAGTCACGGTCATTTGATATCATTTGGCTTTCGAGCCTATTTGGCAAAAACTTTCCAACCGTTTTCAATCGTGGACAAATGGGAATCTATTTGAAGCGAGATTCCATAATGATGAAAGAAATTAGAAAAAATATTTTTACGAGACTGATACTTAAGGAACGTATCTTGAAGTCATTGAAGAAGTGTTTGTCTTAAGGACAACCCTCTCAGCTTAAAATTGACGTAGAACTGATTCCTAGGTACTTCATTTGTTAAATAAGTTCAGAGCTACAGTCAGTAATGGATATTAAAAAACAATGGGGCTAAACCTCGGAAAAACAAAATATCACGTCACGCCTGATATAGCAATATATATTATATTTTGTTTAAAATTCAAACTATAGAATTATATAAATTAATGATATTAATCATGAAAAATTTTTTCTTCAATTTTCACATATGGAATATGTTTGGAAAGGCAAGATCATGGAATGATGTGAGCATTTAAGTAAATTTGATCGATATAATTGTTTGTCCTGACATACGTATTATATCTATGAAGAATCTTGCATGGTCTGATTCAGCATCCGCCGTGAGATGAATTAGTTAGCG